GGGAAGCCCTGCCACCCACCTTGCAGTGTTGCTCCCCCCTTCTGGCCCCCCCCCCCCTCCACACACACACACACACACACAATAAGTCTTCAGCCTCGATTAAAACGCACTTAGCTATGAAACCCAGAGAAGTCAGATTGCTCAGGGCAACGGTTGCTCAGGTCGGGGCTGCTGACACAAACTCATTAGGGGAGGCTGTTTGGTTGTTCCTCTTCAGGAGAAGATTTCACTTGCTGTCATTTAAGGCTCTGTGTTCATTGCAAAGCAGGCGTGAAGAGGTCCCATCCATCCTCACTCCAAGGACACCTCAGTGACAAGTCCTCATCCTGTCCTGGCAGGGAATTGGCCACTCAAGGTTGTTACGATCACCGCTCTTCTGCAGAGGCTGAGAGCATCCCTGCCAAGTGCTCAGCCTTCTAGGGACAAAGTCAGTTCCTCACAGATCATTCAGTCAAACCAGGGATAAATAAAGAAGCTGAGGGTGTACCTCGGTCCATGAGGAGCAGATAAAGTTTTTCCCAGGTTTAGCTTCTCTCTTCAGCTGGGTTTGTCTTCACTTTAATGAGATGATGAGCAGTGAGTCCTGATGGCAGCTTCAGGATGCAGAAACGTGTGCCTGGTGTCACACCCAGGAGGATTTCGGGTATCTCCAAGTGTTGATCACTGATGTTCCTCGCTGCTCCTTTCCCAGGCTGGAAACTGGCAAAGCCCTCCTCAGCTCTTGCTCTACCTCAGCAAATAAGCACTTCTTTCCTGAACGAGTTTCCATCAACTTGAAGGGGAAAGAAAAAAAAAAAAAAGAAAAAGGAGGAGGGATCACATTCTAATGAGCTGTCAAGCCTATTCTCTTCACATTCCTATTAGACTCACTGATAAGTGGAGCTGGCCTGTGTGCCAGGCAGATTCAAATCAGTGCCCACTCCCTGCTCCCTCCCCTCAGCCCTTCTCTGTTCCTCCCCTTCATTATCTCTGAGAAATCACCATTTTTCTGGGAAGCCTGGGGAGCTGCACATGGGTTTGTGGCAGTGCTCAAAAGCTGTGGCTTGGAATAGGCACTGAGCATTGCAGCATCAGATGCTCTGCCCTGTGCTGGGTGAGCTGCGCTCCACACACGTCCCCCCAAATCCCATGGGAGGATGGCTCAGTGGGGGCTTCCTGCTGTATCTACAGAACTGGGGGATGGGCATCTCATTAAAATGAACAGAAAACCAAAACCAAAACACATCTACAAACGTCTCATAAGGAAGGTATCTGGCCAAGCTGCTAAGCTTCACTAGTTGCTCGCCACTGAGAACAGCCTGATGCTCTCTGTAACACAGGGATGCACAAATTCATCTGAGCTTGTGTTTGTGTCATCCAAGAGCGACAAAATGCAATGTCAGGAAGCAGCAGGCTGGCTTTAAAACCTCCTTACCGTGCCTCCTGTCACCCAGGAGTACAGTAATCCAACAGTACAGCTCTTCATTGGATTTTAAGAGCCTCCCATCAGCTCTTCTGTCTCAGAGAAACTGAGGCATCAGCAATCTGAGGGCAAAAACCAAGAACTCTTCAGAAGAAAGAGGGGAGGGAAATGAAGCTTGGGACAGAGTGAGAGCCAGAACGGGTGCTGGAGAGAAGCTAAATAGTTAACAGCATCTCACCCCTCCCCCAAGCAGCTCACATTCCATCAAAACTACGTGGCAGACTTTATTTGTTAATAATATTTAACTTTCTTTGGCGCCTTCTCATACTTAAGCCTCTTTTTTCAGGTTAGTTGTAGACAAGCCATGAATTTGTAAAAGTGCACTTGATGACACATTAATAGGACAATCTGTCATATCGCAGCTAAACAGCCTGACAGATCCACACACCACGGCAAGAAATGACATTCAGAGCAGGAATGGGGTAATCGCTTCTTGGTCTGCTGGTGCTGTCTGTCTGCAACGTCCCCATTCTCATCCCAACAGCTCAGTGCCAAGGCTGTATGCTGAGCTTTGGGGCAGGAACAGGTCCTCAGTGCACTACAGCAAACTGCCCCTGTGGTTTTTTAGGGCTGCAACAAGAGTTGGTGCAGCCATTACCTCCCCTCCAACCTTACGTTCATTGCAGTGTTTGTACAACTGCACACCTTGCTGTGCTCAGAGCCCAGCTGCAACAGTTCCAAAGCACCTGAGCTTTGCCAGTGCCTGAACACCTAGAAGGGTGTGCAACCTCTGCTTGCAAAAGGTAATAGGAACGAGCTGCTTAAAAGTGCACCATTGAACTACTCCAATTACTGTTGCAAAGTACACCAACAATTCTGTATGAGGGGGGGATTCAAGCAGGGAAAACAGTGTAAGGAGCCACACATCAAGCCAAGTGTCATTTGTAAATGCTGCATGAACTGTGCATAAAGCTGGAAACTGAAAAGTCAGACAAGACACTTGTGACTACACCCCTCCATCCCCACTTACACAATCTGCCTTTTACTCACAGTAATCCCACATTTCCTAATTATGACAATACCCAAAAGGCAAAAAGCTGGGATTTTCTGTGTTGTCCAGTGTAGACATAAGGGATAACATCCAAGCCTTGCTGTGGAGATGAGGAGTTTTGAAGCCAACACAGAAAGCACATTACCATTCACTGACACCCACAACTGCTCCAGAGGCAGATAAAAACCTGGAGTAGATCCCTCAGGTGTGAATCTGAAGCTTCCCAGTGCCAACCTGCTATAAACTCCAGCTGAATGGGGCAACATGCAAGAGCTGTTAGAACAAACCTAAACCCAACAGCAGACACAAGAGCAGCTTCGGAATGAAAGCACGCGATCTCAGACTTGTTTCCTTCCCCAAAACACCGCAGCCGAGCTGCCTGCGCCGCGTTCCACAGCATCTCTTTGCTAAGATCCCTGCGTGCCTCCCACCACCACGTGCAGTCCCAGCCATCAGCTGCCTTTCGCCCAAAAGCAGATGGAATTACCACCCCACCTGGTGGCCAGCCCATAGAAACGACGGGTTACTACAACAGCGAAAAGGAACCAGGCTGCTTCTTCCCTTCTGGGCTTTTCAGAGTGCTCAAGGTGTGAAATAAGGCTGTTGTGCAAAGTGCTTTCCACTAATAAAAGGTTCCTAGCGAATCCCAACCTGTTTTTGCTTCCAGATTCCTTCCCAGGGATCCCTTTGTCAGAAACAGTCCCACAGAGCATTTAAATTTTATCATGAATGTTTATTATGAACAAACAACTTTACAATGCAGCCGTTTCTACTCCTCAGTACATGCTTGAAGTGAGGTAATTCCTGTGACCTTGAAATTTCGGGGGGGAGAAAAGACTACACATAAATCCAGGATCGTTAAAGTCATGAGATCTTTAAAGGCCATCGTTGAGATGTCTCACAATCCAAGTTGCAAAACTTCCTTACCGTCTTACAGCCATCTATGAAATTGCAGCATGAAAGTGAAGGGGCAACCATTCGTTCCAATGTCACACACTGAGGGACAGCTTTTATTACATCAAGTAATGCACTGCTTCAGGGTATGGTAACATTTTTGCACGGCAAAGAATGGTTTACTCCACCTACTGACTTTGGTAACAAAAAGATCAGATACTGCATCTTATTATAAATGCCTTAAAAAAAACAACAAAGTGACAAACTACACAAAAGGGAATAAGTCTTCTGTTACCAAAGGCAAGGAGCAAGGACACCTATGGACATTTTGTAAAGCTAGAAGTGCAAGGATTCAATCAGATATTGCTCCCAGCTTTCAACAAATAGCACCCAAAACGACTGTCCAATCTCTGAATCCAGGATACTGAAGAGAAACTGCAAATGCAAAGTAAGGTTTGGGGTTTCTTTTGTTGTGTTTGCCAATCCTCACAGAAGGTGCAGCATCTCCAGGGTTTAACAAGAGGCTGTTTTTTGTTTCCAGTTGTGGCACTTCTTAAAAACAAGGGACCCACCTGCAGATGCTCGTGCATAGCTTAGTGCCAACTGCTTGTTGCTTTCTCCTAAGAGACATTTTATGATGTGCCATCTCCCAGTTTTACTCATTCTTTCACCTTGGCAAGGTACATTTCACAAGAGATGCCATCTAACCATACCCGAGGGCTCCTTGCCTTTGTCTTCAGTTATGTGGACAAAAGATTTTCCATAAGATAAACACAGACAACCATTCACAAGCTTTTGTCTGCAGGCCACGTCAATGGTTAAAAACAAAAAGGCATTGTGAGAACACAAACACATCTGAACGATATGAGAGGCAGAACAGCCTCAGTTAAAGGTCCATCTGCTTTGAGGAAGAAAACATAAATAAAAGTCACTGACAAGCCACCTGGAAAACCCCATCACTGCAAGACTGACACCCCTCCTTCCTTCACAGTACCTCCACACTGACAGAACTGTTTCCAGATACACATAAAATCGGTGTTTCTCCTTTCACAAGAGCTGATTATGCACATACAAGAGGCAAATTAGTTATAAATAAGATTTGGTAAAACCACAGAATCAAAAAAAAATAATCTATAAATACATTTTAAAACCCAGCCTTCCCCACCTCCCCTCCCTCCCTTATCTCAGATCTACTTGAAGATTTCTTTAGTGTAGAGCTGTCCTGCTAGCTTTGATAATCCCTACCTACTGCAGAGGATTGGTCACGTTTATTGAAGCTCTAAACTGCACGGCTCAAGGGTTTATCATTTAGTTTTGCTTACAATTCAAGATACCGAGGAGAAGCAGAGAGAGAATAAATCTGAAAGGGAAAATAAAGCAGTTTAAAAAAAAAAGGATCTTAAGTACATGAGGTAACATTGATTGGGCTCTTCACAACAGCTAACAGACAAAGCAGCTGGAGGCAGAGCTTCTTACCCTGCTATCACCTTTTTTGTACCATTGACAGCAAGTGCACCCTCCTCAGAAGACAAGACATCACTGCCAATTCTAGAAGGCACAGTATGTTCGCCTCTGGAAAAGCATTTAGGTAAAAGTAAGCAGGAAAAAAAAAAAAGCAGGATGAGTTGAAAAAGTCACTTCAGGCTTTCAAACTATACTCGAGGCTTCACTGTTTTATTCACAATCCTGCAATCTCACCAACAAACAGTATTGCTACCAGCAGAAGAGGAATAGAGACAAACTCGGAACTAGAAGCCAAAAGCTTCTAAAAACTTAGGGAAAAAAAAAAAAAAATCAGTAGTTGGGCTTTGTGGGTTTGTCTGCATTGCTCTGGGATTTTTTGGCCCATTCTCAAGTAAGCAAGCAGAGCTAATGCCAGGGGCTCACCTCCTTCGGCTTGTGGCATTTCAGGTTAATGCAGCTGACACTGAAGCAGCTCACCTGATACTCAGACAAGACTGACTTCACAAGGGTTGGGTTTACTTCAGTGTCTAAAACCCAGCAGTTCCAGAGATGTTCTCAATTGGTAATCAACTCTCCATTGGTCTGTGAACCTTTATTTTCAACAGTGGCACCTTGTGATCACAACAAAGTATTGCAGCTTTCAAAGGTAACACCTCCCCAAATGGAAATCCCTAAATGAACGAATCCAAAACAACACTGCCTAGCTGTGTTCCCACTAAAGAGCAATCCAGACACTTTTCTCAGGCTAACCATTCCTACAGGCTGACAACTGCACCCCCTGCAGCCCAAATAAAACCTCCAATTACACGGTGACAATTGAGACAGCACATTAGACACACACGGTGTTATTCTCCCCACTCATCTGATCACTACTGACTAGATATGCAATGATGTTCATTCTATCATAAAAATGAAGACATCTATCTTCTGTAGCATCCACGTTCACATGAACCAAGTCCTCATGAAGCCAGCATTTCCTCCACTTGACTCACCTCCAATTGTGTACAGACTCTTCCCTAATGAAACTAAAACGATATGCACCACGTGTGAACCTTTAAAAACTGTTCAATGAAGTAAAAAGCTTTATTTGCTTCAGGTTTTCAAATCTCAAATAACAGATGGAGAAGTGCTATAAAAATCAAAGCACTAGAAATGTTGGTGTTTCATCAATAATGCTTTGACTTGACAACAGGATCTGCGAGCAGAACTTCGTTTAGTTTTCTGACTAACTGCACATACTCCACTTCCCAAACTCAAGACATGAGCCAACCAAGATTTCACCTGTCATTTGGTAACACAAAACGTTTATCCCAGTGTCAAAAGTCAGACGCCCAAAGAGTCCCACTCACTCAGCAACTACATCTAATTTGGTCTTGGATTTTATTCTCCTCATTCTTGCGCTATGCTTCTCAGTACATATTTGACTGTGTAGGCAAAGGCTGCAAAACCAACTATAACAAACAAGTTCGCCAGAGCTCCACCCAAGAGTCCATGGTTACGGTTGGCCTGCTGGAGGCCAGGGTGGTTGGCAGGTGCCAATGGAACGTGCCCGTTAAGAAGGGGGATTCCATTCTGACCGTAGTGTGCTTCCCCATCAGGGACAACATCTGGTAAAGGGAGGGATGGAGGTCTGCTGTTGAGCTCTTCTTGTGCTTTCTGTTTTTGTTTAATCTCCTGGAGGGGGAGAAGAAGAAAAAAAAGAAGAAAAAAAAAAAAGGGGAAGCTGAAACTGAAAGCGGTGAAGCTTTTGTGTGCTTTGAACAGATTTCAGAACCTCAGTTCTTGAAGCCAGATACACAAAGCTTAGTTCTACTCCAACTCAGCAGAGTACACACAACTGTAAAATACTGGCATCACAGCCATGCCTGCTGCACGTGTAGCAGTCAAGGCTGTAACAACAATAGGAAATACTAACGGCTGTTTACGAGGGTGGATGGTGATAGGACAAGGGGGGGGCGGTCTTAAATTGAGACAGGGGAGGTTTAGGTTGGATATTAGGGGAAGTTTTTCACCCAGAGGGTGGTGAGGCACTGGAACAGGCTGCCCAAGGAGGCTGTGGATGCCCCATCCCTGCAGGCATCCAAGGCCAGGCTGGATGTGGCTCTGGGCAGCCTGGGCTGCTGGTTGGTGACCTGCATACAGCAGGGGGTTGGAACTGAATGAGCATTGTGGTCCTTTTCAACCCAGGCCATTCTATGATTCTATGTTTCTAAGTGTTTTGATTCCCCTGACAGTGGATCTTTGTTTAACAGCAAAACGTTTGAATCCTGAAATTGAACTTTTTAATTCTTTCAAACTGCAAAAGAGTCTTTTAAAAGGCCTCTAAGGTTGATAAAAGTAGATAGACCTTAGAGTCCTAAACAACTAGCTCATAGATCAACACAGGGAAGGTGAAAAGCTAAAGAAAACCAAGTTACTCCATGAATTGAATGCCCCTACCTCCACCACTTCAGGGAAGAGCTCACAGAAGACTTTATCTTTTAAATTGAATGCTAAGCTTTGTGCAGCAAGTTGTCGTTTCTGTGAAGGAAAGAAGAATTATGAGCACAGGAACAAAACAAATACAGCTCAAACACAGCACCTGGTTCCTTCCCACACAAATGGGAGAAACTAGTTAGATAGTTTACACCATTTGCAACTGCATACCCATCAATATTATCATTAGGCATTTCTAAACTCAACCTCTGCTCCTGATCCTTCATCTTATGGCCTTGGTGTGCTGCAGTGACATCCCTGCCACCACAAGCACCAAAAGTCCTAAGCATGCACTTCAGCAAAAAAGCATTTCAAATTTTACTTAGAAATCCTCCCTGTCCCCACGCTGCCTAAAACTGCTTGGATTCACCCTGCCAGCAGTAGATAAGATATCAAAACATCAGCTCTCACTGTTGTGTTAACCTAGAGGTCACATTCAGCAGCCCCTAAACTGAAAGCAGCCCAAAAGGTACAAGGTGGAACTTACTGCAAACTCTGAAGTCTCTATGCTGCCCAGGGTGGGACCCTTTTCCACCATGAAACTAAGGAGGCCTGTCAGGATTGTTGAGACTGACCAAGCTGGATTCCACGTATCAGGGTGGAAATCAGTGATTGAAAGACATAACCTAAAAAGATGAGACAAAAAGGCATTTCATTTTTGTTGTTAAAACCACTGCGTGCTTCACATATTGCAAAAGTGGTGTTTATTGCTTTAAGTGTTAGAAGAAAATCCTTACCTTGTATTACACTTAAACCTTCCATTAGGTGTAATCATATAAATACTAGGAGGTTTAAAAGGAAATTCTCTGGGGAATATTAGTTTCCCATGATAATAGCCACCTGCATTACACAAAGAGATGAATTACTTATTTTGCATTAAGATGAAGTCCTAAAGGTATTCAGATTGGGCTAAATAAAACCCTGTATTTGTTTCCCTCTCTTCCTCACACTACAGGGATGAAGCACATCATTTTGTGCCTCTGAAACAACCCACACCTGCAGCACATTCACTCTGGAGACAATTACATCTCTATTACAAACACTCTTTTCTGTTTTCTAGCCTGCCATACATTCAAGGAACATCAGCCAAAGCATATTTAACACAACACCGATGCTTCAGAGTATCACAAACACAATTAACTGCAAATGGAGATCTCTGAAGAACCTGAACTTCAAAAGCATTTTGTGAAAGGCTCCAGAAGACACCCTGAACAATGAAGCACACAACGTTAACACAGCTTTTTCTGGTCCTTGGATTCTCCAAGGAACTTCATAAAGACAATACAGCTCTCAGTTCAGTGAGAGATGCTCATGCAGCAAGGCATAAGCAAACCATCCTAAAAAAAAAAACAAGCCCTAAGGGATGAAATATTAGGAAAATGAGGTTTTATGAAGTTATTTTGACTGTCCTAAAGCGAGTTCCCTAAGTTACTTAATAGAAAATGTAACAAATGTGGTTTCACTATCATACAAAGAGAAAGATTAACAGACAGTTGCACCCCTCACTCTTTTCCATAAGCTACCATACCAGTCACAGACTGCTTTGCAACTGCACTCACAGTTCTCAGGGCTATTTACCACAGCTGTGCTTTGCCCATTCAATCAGCCATGCAATTACTGAGACATGCCAACCAATGCCCACTTTTGCTTCGTGCCTTTACCTTCATAAGGAGTTGTTTCAGGTCCCCGGACAACATAGTGCCTAAAACAAAGGAGAAAACACAAACAGTGTGAGAGCCTTCACACCACCAGCCATCAACTTCTCTAGAAAGAAAGAAGACTAGCATCACTTCAAGAAGTTCCATATGCCACCTCCCAGAACCAAGGCTCCCCTGCAATCCATAGGGGGTGAAGGAGTCAGACCTGATGACCAGGAAAGTCTTGTTCTCTCCACAAGTGCACAAACAGCTCGTTCTAAGTCTTACCATTCAAGGATATTAGATGGGAGGGGTTCTGCACAGATATAAGGCACTGGATCTTTCTTAATTCGAAGGTAGTCTTGTTTAAGTCTCTGTGTTGCTGTCGTTGGTGCTCTCTTATTACTGCTGCTGCTCATCTGGTTTTCAAAAGATATATACAAATACAATCTCAGCAGGTGTAGGGCTGTGATGCTTTCTTGAATACAGCTCCAACATCTACCAGACACAGCATCTTTTTAAAAACAGTCATCATCGCTTTTAAGCAGCAAGAATCACACGCAGTTTTAACCAACACACTCCCAAGAGAAGCTGTACATCACCCAAATGGGAAAAAAACACCCCTTCCAGAATACTGCTGTGGATGTATGTGCACAGAATTGCTATCATGAAAATGAACTGCACTACAGAACCTATTTGAACTGTTAACAGCCATTCCTGGGCTTAGGCTGGGCACAAATCACAGCCATAACGTTTTAAAGGGCTTAGTCCTTTTCAATAATTCATTTCCCAAATTAGTTACAATATCCACGGTGCAAATCTGCCTGTGATTTAAATTCATTTACTCTTTCTATCACAAGCAAAAAAAAAAAAAATAATAGTCATCATATTACTGACTTCGGGGAGGAGGAATTTTAAGTTCAATCTGCTGCCTGCTTAGGGCAGGCAGTTAGTTAAGCTTATGAGATCTTCTGAGCCAGATTATTCCCTTCCAAAGGAAGAACTTCATCCAAAATGAGGCAATTCAGTGTGAAGAATGGAAAATCCACGCTGTTTTCATGACAAAGAATGTATCAGCCCTTGCAATGCATCTACAGAGCAGACATCGATTAGCAAATGCTACTTAGCTCACCTTCCCTCACAGAAGCACAACAAGTTACTTAGCAACTCAGCTTCTTTCAGAGCTCTAGAAATTCAGGGGAAAAACTGGGAAGGTTTATGAATGCTTTCTATAAAGATCTAAGATAATTTTCACGTGTGATAGCAGGGTTGGACACCAGAAAATGCCTTAAAGCTTCCTATTCAATTCAATACACTCAGTGAAGTATATTTCTAGAGAATATTTATACCACTAACAACAACTACAAAAAAATCCTCCTCAAAATAAACACTTTTAACCTGCTTTTCCTTAAAAGTACTGTAAGTCACTCTAATATACAGTATTTTTTCCTGAACGAAGTAGCACTTTTTAAAATACATCTCTTTAAATACCCACCAAAAAAAATTCTAAAGAAGTCAGCTTTGAATTTAAAGCCGAGATTAAATCACGCCTTTTAAATTAGAACAAAAAAGGGAGCTTTGTAACAGCGCCCTTCACCAGTTAGCGAAAATAGACTGAAATCATCCAGACTAACGTACACCTACTGGGGTTCCTACACCCCTTAGAGCCTTATCCGAGAGATCCTTCGCATTTTAAACACCGAAGACAAACCAGAACGTTTACAGAAGCTAGCACAGGACATCGATTTCCCCATCAATACAACACAGGCAGGGCGGACGAGGAACTAAACCAAGGCCTTTCGATCCCAGCAACCCAAGCACGGCAGCTCCCAGGAGAACGGACAAGAAGGCAAACGGCGACACGCAGGCCTGCCCTCAGCCCAGCTCCAGGTTCCTCGAGGCGGAGGATGGGAAGCCCCCGCTCCCCGAGCTCGCCCTGCAGGCCCCACTCACCTCTCCCTGCTAAAGCAAGCCCCTCCACCGCCGGGTCGCTCCACCGGCCCGCAGCCAGCGGCCAAGCAAGGGAAGCAGAAAGAGGAGGAGCGCCGAGAACGGACAGCGGGCCGGACTGAGCCGGGCAGGGCAGGGCCGAGACCCCAGCACCTCCCGCTGCGGCGCGACCGCTGCTTCCAACCAAGATGGCGGCCCGGCGAGGCGGAGCCGGCGCAGTGCTGCCGTCTGCTTCCGGAAATAGCATCTCCACTTCCGGCGTGCGTACTTCCTGGTCAGCTGACTTCCGGGTCAGCTGACTTCCGCTGTGCGCTCCGCAGCAGGCGCTTCCCCTGTGTGTCCGATGGAGGGCAGCAGGAGCTTGCGGACATATTGCAACTTTTTGTTCTTTCCGCTGCTGGAGCGGCGCAGCGCTGTCGTGCTTCGTTCCCTGGGTGGTTTGTCAGCAGCCGGAAGGAAAAGCACTGTGCTTCTCATTTACGCTGTGTGAAATCTGTTCCTGGACACTGTTACCTGGAGGGCTTCAGAGTTTGGCTTTCGTGCTGTTTGAGCAGCAGTTGAATGTTGCTGAACTGTGTTTATTCTTGCCTTTTAAAAGTGTCTGTCTTCATTCAGGGAAAAGCAAAACTTTTACAAGTCTTTTTCCTTCTTTTGATTTCACAAAAAAAAAATTGAAAATCTGAACCCTATTAAAGGCAGGAAACTATTTTCAATCTGAAGTGGTTTCACACTCCATCAGCTGCAGCTCCCCGTGTACACATGGGGGCTGTGATAGGAACTAAATCACTCAGGGTCGCTTTGGTTACGATACACTGATTGATCCCATTCCTCACCGTCTGAGTGTGCATTCAGACCTAGAGATATCCCTGACCGAGGTTTCTTCACAGATCCTTGTGTAAGAGTACAGGATGTTAACACAAACTTCTTGGCCAGGTTCCGTTTGAGTAATTATATTCTGCCTTCCTGAATTCCCTGCTAATTTCAAGTGCGTGTGAGATGCCTCCCTTCCAGGCCTGCCTATGACCAATGAATACCATTTGTATCAAAACACCTTGCTGCCTTCCGTCTAAATGTGCTTCCATTTCATTGACAGGTGTTTCTTTCCCCAGCTGAGGGGTCTCATTGCTCTAACAAACACACTGGCATTTACTGAATGAAGTTGTCCTATACATTTCATCTAGAGGCAATTCCTCACTTAAAAATGAGTAACCTCCCTCTGCTGGATGTTTTGTCACCATAGCACATGTTTGCTTAACAGTATTACAGAAGTACAGTGCATTGTTATCCAGTAGATTATGCCATTTTGAAGAAGCCAGACCCTTTTGATTTCCTAGGAAACTGCTCCCCATCATTTTGTTTTGATAGGGAACTGATAACTTGTTCCTAAACAACTTCAACCTGGCTCATTATCTCAAGCTGCACATAAGGGCTGTGATGCTTCCCAAGTCTCACTGATTCGTTGTTGATCACGAAGCAATCATTCTGTTGCTTTGAAGCTCCGATTTTCTGCTCAGAGGAAGGCAAATATTATTTATCTGCCTTCAGTTGAAGCATGTGTGCTTAATCATTTGGTGAGCGTCACCCATTTCGAGCTCTCTGGCTTAAAGGTTCTGCAGCAGCACATGCCAAACATGAATCATAATCCGTGTTTTCCATAATCACTGCTGCTATGATAATGATCAATGTTGTTCATTTATAGGTCAGGTGAATATTTCCAGGCATCATACTTCTGTTGGGTTTTACTCCATTTTCTACAGACTAAATTGGAGGGGCAGCAGGCAATCGCTGGCCTCAGGTGACCCAAATAAAAGGACAGGCAATTTAGCCTGAGCACCACAGGTGGAATCCTCAATAAACCTGCTGAACCCAGAGCTTTTTTTTTTTCTTCCTTTTTATTTCCTCTCCTGCCTGGTGAAGGACAGGATGACCTCCTTTGTGATGATTGACGTGAAGCTATTAGTACTTACAAATTAATTCCAGCCTGTTTCTGAGTCAGAAGGAGTAAAGGTCACTCCTCTTCCTGGTTTATTCCCCTGATACTAGATAACGAACTCCATCACCAGGATTCTGCTCCCATTCACCTTTCCATCCTGTGCTTCCCGAAGGATAATTGGCACACGGCTATCAGTGGCCATGAGTGGCCTAATGACATCACCAAGAGATGAGCTATGACATACCAGTTTCTCTTTGTTGTTCATCGCTTTCACTCAGAGCCTTTCACTGCTTCCGCATTTGACATTTGTATGATTGCCTTTTATATCCAAAGTGCAGCATGCCTGGTATTAGAATGTTATTAAGCTATTACTTTGCCAGATGGATGTATGCCTTCAGAAGCCATTATAAAGGCTGTGGTTTTGTTGCTGTTGAAATCCCATTAAAGAAAGGTAATCCTTACAGTTAATCATTCTTCACGGAGATCATTTGGAATTTCAAAGCACGTTTTTGCGTCTAAACATTTCTTTTTTCTTCCCTCTTTAAAATGACAATTTAGTCCTGCAGTCAGATTGAGGCTGAATAGAGCAGCAATTTGTTTTCCTTCCGTGAGACACAAAATGAGCCTCACTGGATGGTCTGATTTGCTCATTTCTTTCAGCCAATATTCCTCTGCATGACCTACAGGTATTGCCCCCAGCACAGCTGAGCCTTTCAGTGATGAAATGCTTCCTGCCCTATAGAGGTCACTAAGCAACACCTAGATGACTTCAGGATTTATGTCTGCCAGCACAGACCCTGAATAACTTGAAAAATAAATATATGTAAGAGATTATCAGAAATAAGACAGGAAGGCAGCATGATTTCCAATAGCATCCAGAATAACTGCACGGCATCCCATCTCTCAGTTTACACTGAATATTCATGACGTGTCCCAGGGAATCTTCCCTTGAGGGGTGCTGGGGGTGCATTCTGAAGTCTGTGACAGATTAAAGTGAGCCTGCCCTTGTTCATCACAACAGCAAGAAAGTACAGTCTTACTCTATTTGTACTCCAATATTGTATTTAATGTATAACAGACATATACCAGATGGCATTCTTGAACAAAGAACAAAGCTAGCTGCAGGGGCAAAGCAGGGCATGGGAAGCAGAGATATCTTGAATGGAGTTTCACAGGTAATTGTTGCTTTGACTATTAAGTCAAAGTCAGGCTGCTCATGTTTGCTGCCAAAACCTTCTGGAAGACTCCACTGAGAAGTGCCAGAGGTGGAGAGGAGAATCAGGGTGTTTTATGTTAAGACACTTCTCAAAATAAAGTAATAAAAAATGCATTACTTACATCATTGGCCTCACTGTGTCCTTGTGTGATGAGGGAATTAATGTGTTCTGTCAGAAGGAAGAGGGAATTTGAGGGGAAAAAAAACATTAAGTAAAGGAGAATGCCTTTTCGGTGTACATTCACTTCTGTTCTTTATCTGTAGACCTCTGTGCTACAAATGGATCCAGAAGTGAAAATAATCTCTGGATCTTATCCTCTTATGCTGATGAAGTGGTAAGAAAGTCTGTTATGTTAAGCAGTGTGTGTTGCAAGGAACTCGTTCTATGAGGCTGGAAGCTAAAGGCCCAAAGATGTGGGGTCTATTGCGTGGAGTTCCCATGGAAAATACCTGTAGGGTTGTTAAATGCACGAAGAATTCTGTTTGTCTAATGCAGGAGTAGTATGGACCGTGTTAAAGTATCAGGTGAGATCTAGGAATATGTCTTAAAAACATGTTTAAATGCTACAGCATGACTACTACCCATCCTGGTGCAATTAACAAGCAGTATCAAAGCAACAGTCATCATCATGCTTACATGGCAGCTTACATCACCAAAGCTTTATACAAACACCAATTAACCCTCTCAATAATGCTGCCAAGTGTCATTACACCTGTTTCAGAGATGAAGCAACAGAGAGAGGCACAAAGATTTGCCCAGGATTGTACAGCAAGAGAAGAGAGAAGTTCAAGAGTTGAAGGCTTTCAGATTGGCGTTTCCTTGCAGAGCTGTGGAAGATTCTGCCCTTGTCTGTGGGTGGAACATCATCTTTGTGGACTTGCAGATGGAGCAAAAAAGGAAATCTTCACGTTGCATTTGTTTCTTGTTTTGGAAAACGTGCCACAAACAGAAAGCCTCCAGCATATGGGACTTTATCTTTGTATGTGAAAAGTTTGGAGGTTTCTGCCTTTGGGTGGGTTTTATACAGTGCCAGTCCATCTCCTTTCGGTTACAGACCATTCCTGGTCTAACTTTCGGGGGCTGCTAAGGGACTTTTTATGGAGGATTTCCCTTAGAGCTGACCACACAGGTCAGACTAGGCATATTTGGGCAGTTACAGCAGACTATTCGTTCCACATTACTCATGGTTACATGCGGGTTTTGGAAGCCACGTGGCACCATTTCCACTCTTTAATTGGCTGATAAAGTTGTCCTGGACATGGAAAAAATGAAAAACATATGATTAAAGGCAAATCTGAGGGCTTACCATTTCAGTGCAGCGTTTGCTTTATGAATAAGCACACCCCAAACATCACAGCAAACAGACCCAGGGTGTGCAGGTAGTTATGGACCTCCCAGTATTCACATCCGAAGAATAAAAAATAACTCATGTGCTATATTCAACATTAGTCTAGCATTTTGTGTTGATTTTGACATCATTTTAAGAGTAGAATGTGATCTATTTTTTAAAGCCAGGTTTTATCACAGAATCGTTAAGGTTGGAAAATACTACTAAGATCCCCAGGTCCAACCCCAACCCATCCCACCCTGCCCAATGGCCACGGCCCTCAGTGCCACTTCTCCACCTTTCAGGAACACCTCCCAAGACTCCCCCACTTCCCTGAGCAGTGTTTCCATCCACATTGTCTCCCAAGGATCAGCCTGAATTCAGAGAATTATTGCTACACACGTAAAGGTTTTCACTGCTGTGCTGTGTGTACATTTACCATGATGGCACCAGCTCTATGGCATGGTTGGATTAGATGATCTTAGTGGTCTTTTCCAACCTCGAGGATTCCATGACATTGCAATAACTCTCAGGCACAGACAGATGTGCTCATTAGGAGGAGAAAAGCAACCTTCAGAGGCTGCGGATGGAAAATATAGCATTGCAGCTGAATTTAACTGAAAAGCATCCAGCCACAGAGGTATGACAGCTGCCACAGCCATTTATGTAATAGCTAGTTTCAGTTACTGATTTGCTAATGACTGTTTTGCCCTTGCGCA